TCATTATGCTGATTAGGCATTAATTGGCTCAGAACAGCTATTCTTTCAGTTAACCTCTGTATTTTTTTTACCAAGGTCGATATTTTCATGTTTAGGATTGCTTAGACCTTTTTTGGGTTCATTTAGGGAAGGCAATCTAACCCAAATCCAATGGGTTCTAACTTGACCAGACCTCTTAAGGTCTTTTTTTTCTTTGAAAATATGGTATCGGGTTAGGTAGGGTTAGGTAATATAAGAAAAAAATCAAGGTCAAGTCGAATTTGCGTTTTAAGCAAACCTAACCCTACCAAACCTGATATATATAAAAAAAAATTAATTATTTATTTAATTTTATATTTATATTAAAAATAATATTTTATATTTTAAAAAATAATATTTTATTAATATCAGGTCAAATCAAGTATAATTTTATACAATATCGGGTAGGGTCAAGTTCAGGTATAAAACAATAAAAAAATCATCAAGTCAATCAAGTTCAACTTATATATATATATATAATCAGGTTGGATTCAGGTTATATATATATATATATATAATCGGGTTAGGTTCAAGGTGAGCAAAAACCTATCCTAATCGACCTATTGCCATTACTAGGTGCGCCTCTATCCCTCTCTTATTAATCATATAACCGAGGAACTTACCCAACATGACCCCAAAAGCATATTTGCTTAGGTTAAGCCTTATATTATACTATCTTAAAGTATTAAAGTTCTCATTAAGGTTTTTTAAGTGTTCAATCAAGTTTTAACTTTTGACTATCATGCCGTCCACATATACTTTTATGTTATGATCGATCTAATTTTTAAACACCTTATTTACCAGCTTTTGATAGGTTGCCCTTGCATTTTTCAATTGAAGGGTATTATCTTATAGCAGTAAAAGCATTTCTTAATAATAAAGATTGTCTTTTCCTCATCGTCATTTAGCATTTTGATTTTGTTATAACTAGAATAGGCATCCATAAAACTAAGGAAGCCATGTTTAGCACTATCATCCACTAACTGCTCTATGCTAGAGTGAAAAAAGCTATTTTTTAGGCATGTTAGGATCAGGTCGATAAAGTTAACATGCATCTTTCATTTTTTACTATGCTTTTTAACCATGAACACATTGGCCATCCATTCATAGTAGTAGACTTTCTTCATGAAGCCTACTTGTAGTAATCTATCGATCTCTTTCTCGATGGTCCTTTATCTTTTTAAGGTAAAGGTTTTTTTTTTTTTTTGCCAAACTAATTTTACCTCAGGATTAGTATATAACCTATGGATCACTACTTCGATATCAATTCTAAGCATATTAGATGGTGTCCAGATGAACAGGTCGATATTATCTTTTAAAAGTTGAATTAACTAACCTTTGTGTTAAAGTTTAGTTTCGATATGCATGTGTTTTTTAGGGATACTATCCCAGCATGGTATGGCTACCAGATCCTCGATCGATTCAGGTCAACTTTCATTCAAGTCTAATTTTTAGTCAATTATCTCTTTTTGTTTGGCTAAGTCAGGATCATTTTTTATGAAAATAGATTATGATATGATAATCAGTATGTTATTGATAACTTATTGAATATGTATATAGTGAAATTGGTATGTATTTTTTATTTCAAGACTGACGTATTAGCTCAGTCCAAATGACATATAATTGTTCATGTTGGCTTAAAAGTTGGTCATCTTTAGAGTTACTTCAAAAGATTCAAAAAATAGAATAAAAATTTTTTTTTGTTTGAGCTTAAGAGCTCGAAGCAGCTTAAGAGTGTGCTTCTGTCAGGTCGATCTTACGTTTTATATTCTTGCTTATGGCTTTTTGCTTCTTATCAGCTTTCACTATTTACCCTTTCTCAGTACTTTTGGTCTAAGTCAAACTGTCAGTCTATTTTTCAGTTCTTCTTTTCATTTTTATGACATAACACTGTCTTATTGTTGATTGATCTCCCTTAACCTCTCCAATCCATTTGGGTGTTGGAAATTTCACCTTTAGATGGGGAACCGAGCCTATGAATCGTATAACACATTAGCTAGGTCAACCCAATATCATATTGTAGGCTGATGGGACATCGACAACCATAAATCCTATGACTGAGGTGATTATTTTTTATTATTTCCTCAAAAAAATCGATATCTTGATGGTTTCTTTCACAGGTACTTGTTTATTGCTAAATCTCATTAGTTTATGGTGATTGGCTACAACTGATCTTCATTAATTTTCATTTTGTTCACAATGTCATCGTACATGACATCAGTTGAGCTTTCATTATCAAACAAGATTCTTTTAACTACATAGTTGTATACTACAGTCATGATCATTATAGCATCATTATATAGGTGCTCGATTCCTTTCAAGTCTTTCAGACTGAATGAGATCGGTTAGTCTTTCTTGTCTTTTTTGTTCTTTGTCGAGGTACCTATGGCCATAACCGTGCTTGGATTGAACTTCCTTTTGATCGAGGTAGAGCTATTTTCAGTGATCACATTTATCACTCCAGTAATTGGCCTATTGTTATCAGCTTGAAATTATTCTTACCTCAGCTCATATCCTTGGACTTTTTTTCTATTATTTTTTAGCCTTTTTTTGCCCTGGGTGGGTTCTCTTTGGTCTTGTCTATAGTTCATTTTGGGTTAGCCTTTTTTCACTATTTACAAACTTTCTCAATTGACTTTTCTTTATTAGGGCTTCAATCTCATTTTTTAGGTCAACGTAGTCTTCGATGTTATGGCCAACATCCTTACAAAAAGTACATCTTTTGGTTAGATCTTTCTTTGTGTTCTATCTTAGTGGTTTTGACCATCTGAGGTCAGGATTTCTCTTGATTTACATCAGATTCTTCTCTCAAGAGGTATTTAATGCAGTGTAGTTTTTTTTTTCATTGGGACTTCTAGCCTTATGTCATCTCCCTCTTGAGGGAAGATCGTAAAAATTTTTACCTTTTTTACTACTATCGAGGAAAGAGATGAACCTTTCTCACCTCAGTTATTTTTCATCGTAGCCTTATAATTTATAATTTTTTAACTATCAGTAAGACATCGATCAAATTTTTAGGTGATTTTAGCGACAAAATTAACTTCATATGATACTCTTTGTCATTGAGTCCACTTGTCAGGGTGGCTACAGTGGTAATTAGCTATAAGCCTTTAACCTACAGAGCTTTATTGTTAAAATGCATGACATAGCTCTTCAAAGATTCATTACAACCTTAGTGGATTATCATTTAACTCAGGGTTGTCTTATTTACTTTTTAACTACTCACAAATCGAAACAGAAAAGAGTGGCTAAGCTTATTGAACGTTATAATTGACCTCAGTTTCAGGTTGTAGTATCAGGATCAACCTGCGCCTTTCAAAGTGGTAGTTAAGCCTTTGCGCATTAGAGCTTTGTTTGCACCTTGCATCATCATATTAGTCCTATAAAGTTTCAAATGATCGAAGGGATCAAAAGTATCGTCATATGTTTCTAAGGTCGACATTTTAAACTCTTTGGAAGGCATGGTTCTGTTAATTTCTTTAATGAAGGGCCTCCAAGAACTTAAACTCATCCTGTAATGCCAATGCTTTTGTTTTCAACTTTTTCTCCATTGCTTGCATTCGAGCTTTCAAGTCCTTGTTTAGTTGGGATTCAAGGTTTGTCTTTTTGGATTTTTAGGTTGTGGCATATGTCAAGTTATGGCTGGGATCAAGGCAAACAAATGTATGCTCCTCTTTTCTAAAGGCAGAGGAGGCTTCCATTTCTTCATAACTTGGCTATCTTACTGCGGCTCGTCAGCCAGGGATAATTAGGTCAAGCACTTTTGAAGTTTGTGGTGGGGTTATGGTCTATAATATTGTTAAAGGCCTATATCTGCTTGGTCAAGACCTAGAATTGTTCCATGGTCAAGCCTGTCTATGGTGAGGGAGGTCATTTTGAGTGTTGACTATTATGTGTTTCTTTTCCAACCGAAATGGTTGCTTCTTCTTCCTCTAAGGTTCTTTTCCTTGGTGACATTATTTCGTGCTTGCCTAGTGAGTGAAAAATGAAGACCCCTACTGAAAGTGCTAAATGTTTGTGTCGAACTCTGATCTCAAGGCATTCTTGGAAAGACAGAATAAAAAGACAATTAACGACAAAAACAATTAGTGTTCCCTACGTTTATACTCTGATGCATAAGTCAGAATAGGAAAAGTCGAAAGAAGAGTAATAAAGAAAATTAGGAGTATGATGAACTTACTTTAATGATACTTAGACTTTCATATTTATAAATAAGCGATAGAAGATCATTATGAGATAATAAAAATAATATCGAATTAATATGACTTTGAGTATGTTAGACTCACTTGACATGTTAAATCCACATAAATATAAAAATTACCTCTTATTTTCTGCTAAAGATTTCTAATATAGAAAAAGATACATTTTAAAGTTCGTCCTTTAACAAAAATAAATATTGGATATGCAATAAAATTAAACCGAACTAATAATTCAAGATATTTTCTTGTTATCCGAGACATGAATAATTACTACTCTTATTTTGAGCAAAAGGAGCCAAATGCCTTAAAAAGATGGATTAAGGGTTCAAAGTTCAAACCCAATTGCACCATCTCCTCGATTATATAAACTGGAAAGTTTAAGCTTCCAGCTTTGTACTTTTTTCCCTTTATAGTAACTAAGGGCTGTAAAATAATTAGTATTAAATTATTAATTAGTAATTATAATCATCAATTCTTTTCGCATTATAATCATCAATTCTTTTCACAATAAGTTGGGATTGTGGGAATCAATAACCGTGTTAAGATTATTGATTACAACTAGTAGCATTTTTTTTTTTAATTGCAATAATTTTCATCTCATTCATCCATGTTAAGCAATTTTGGCTCGTTTGCTAATAAAAGCAAAATAAAAAGGGTCATCAAGTAATCATCAGTGCTTTCACAGATGCATCCACCTTATTAATTACCAAGATAATTATACAGTGAAAAAAAAGAAAAATTCCCGAGCTTGACAGCAAATCAACTTTATTATCAAAACTTTAATTGGTTGATGACCACAACTTGGATGATTATGGTTTAATATTAGGAATCACCCATTTGGAGAAACAACAAATGCTTTCAAAACACTTCCTACTCTCATCTTCACCGTGCAAGCGAATATCTATATGTGCCCCACCTCACCATTCTTTTTAAAGCAAACCAATCTTCTCAAGAAGTTGGATGACACTACACTGTTTAGGTGGATAATAGATGTTTATTTAACCATTTCTGTTTTGATTTCTCAAATTCGCAACAAAAGGTAGGGTCGTCTCTTCTCTTCTCCATTGGCAGCTACCTTAGCTCATCGTTTTATTCCATTAGTGGCTTTTCAATTCTGTTTCATGACATGACTCCCTTATACCCTAATCTATACTTGTCTCATTATTCAATTATATGGTATAAAGGAACCAAAACTTAAGGACCTTGTATCAGGATTTGGGGTGGTGAGGTTCTCATGCGGTTCGTGGCTAGCACATGAGCAGATTGCATAAATCTTTCTAATGGGAAGTATTTGGTAGTTCTGGCCGACATCTTTCTTTTTTCCTGTCCAATCTACATACCACCATCAATGGAGATAAAACTGTTGGACTCCTGCAAGCGTCAGATGCTAGTCCCTGTCCTCGCCAACCCTCTTCCTTTGTTACCAGGGCATCACACAGAGAATCGCACATGGAAATGTTGAGCCTAGGAATAAGGTGCTTATGGTAGCAACTTTCGGCATCTATATATATTAGTCATTCCTGTATTGGAAGAAAAACTGGCCGCTTAAAAGGTACTTATTATATCACTTTGAACCTCTTTTTGTGTGAGCGAATAATAGGTTCAAACAAAAAGAAAGGAACAAAAATGAAAGCAATCAAACAATTCAATCCCATTCAACCAGAATCGGCCATCAAAACCTGCTTCATGTATATGGTAACGGTTCATAATCATTTAACTTGATGGAAATTTTTTTCATTGGGTACAATAAGCAGCTGTAGTAATGAGTAGATAGATACTTTCCATGTAGCCCAAGCTAGAATTTCTGGATTACCACGGAATTGGCAAGTCCTGCTTGTTCTACGGTTTGGGTTGGATCAGTAAGAAGTTTAGGAGGGAAACCCATTATCTGCAATTGATAGTTTGTTGCACTCCCAGGTCTAGATGCATTGATGAAGGAATGGATGTCATCAACTGTGTGATGGAAATTGAAGTGGGCTATCCTGCGAGTCCCATCAGCCAACCTAAGCTGAATTGAGGTTGATGGTAAACTTTTATCTACAACCAGGCCAGGAGAAGGGTTTGGAGCAGAGTTGAGAGGAGTGGAACTGATAGTTGGTTCAGGAGCTGCTGAAGTACCGCTGCTACCAAGAGTTCTTCCTACACCCTGAAATGCCACCTGGCGCTTTTTCTCTGGTTCCTGCAAGAAGACAAACATAGGAGTGATATCCTCAAATGGACTTAAAGAATCAGCCAGTTGGTCTTGAATGCGTGTTAAAAGAAGACAGAAGCATTTTTGAAGGACCTTTCAATCATTTTCTAAATTCTACAAGTTACAACCTTACGGACAAATATAATAGTAACGGGAAAGAGAGACTCACAGGGCATTTCTCGTCCCTCTTTATCAGATTGACATGAACTGCTGACCTTCTATCAGCAGGCTCAAGCTCTTTAGGACACTCAGACTTTCTGATGCTCTGTGTTGAGATGAGACCAAGTTGTTAAAACAAGAAGAAAAGGCATTCCGAAACATGAAAATTAATTCACTCAAAAAAATTGAAAATAAATAGAATGAAACACCTGTTTGCAAGATATATGAAATGGAAAAGACAAGAATGCAGAAGGCCAAACTTACTAATTGCAGTCATACAACCGAGTATTCACTCCATAAGATGAACAGAAATCATATACCTCCAATAACACCTGTCATTGCATTTCTCTTATTTATCTATTTCTATCATACATGTTAAATCCTAATTGCCATTACCTCTAAGAAAGGTGCATTTTCAGGATCATCCAACCTCCTCAGAGGGCCATCATTTACAGTGAAACCATTGATCCAGAAAACTATGTTGTGAATAACAGCCTCAGGCTGCTGAGGTGCAGAAGGTATAGTTTCCCCTGAGAGGAATCTACCAGTTCCAGTAAAACTCGTTGAACTTGATGATGGACGAAGATGTTCAAGAGGCCCTTCTACAGCTCCCAGTTGATGAGCTTGATTGAAAATCTCATCTACATCATTATTCTTCAAAGGATCTTGAACAAGCATGCCACTGCAAAAATTAGAGTTATAGTTGATCATATCCTTAACATTTCATCATAATTTATTGAATTGAAGGTTGGTATTTTCTTTAGATGAACTCTTTGAGAAAGCTTAACAACAAAAAAGGAAATAGCCTCATCAACTATAAATAGAATGATGAATGTGTATTGATAAATCAATTTGTTACTGGACCTCACATCAGATGTGCAGATCAAAACATAGCAGCTCATAATTAAAAGTGGAAATACATCCAAATATCCAGCACTATAGACATTCCAATGCCATCAATATGAGAAAATAATTCTGTACCGCCTAATGGCAGCAAACAACCCAAACATTTGAAAGAAGCCTTATAAACATTGTCTAAAATTAAATTGAATTTGTGATCATGCATGCAAATACTGCATCAACAAGGTTAAAAAATTTCTTGCAATGAACTTTTATGGCTTAAAAAGTTACAAATAGTGTGCTTCGATGTGCAAATAAAAAGATAGCACGTGTTCATTCAAATGAGATAAGAATTATACATAATTTACCAAAATTTCTAAAACTAAACCCATATGATTGCCTGTCTCATAAATGATTCAACTTGCACTCCCCGCATATGTGCTCACACTAGCATCATTTAAGAGAGATGATCTTTGTCCAGTTCTTCTAGCTGAGCACAATACAAGTACAATAAAACTGTCTATGCACAAAGCAGTTGCACAAAGTGATGCACAATGACTAATAAAAAATGTCTTCATGAACAATTGCCAATGAGTAATGACTGCCAAACTCAAAGCAAAATAGTTCATACATAACAAAATGCCTGAACATGGTAAGACAACATATCAATATCCTTTGAAATTCTATATCTTAAATCCAACACTAAAGTAAATCCGTGCTATCAACTCTTAGAATCAGAAGTTAAAGGATTAATTCAACATGGTAAGAAATGCAGCTTCTTAGATGCACTAATATGTTAGGTTTGAGATGCTTAAAAATTTTGAGATAAAAATTCTAAGGCCGACCATAGCTCATAAGCTCAGTCAGCCATAAATAGCTCATGGAACTTCAAAAAGGTGGTGTATCCATAAACTGTCTCAAACTCCCATCCAAAAGAAAGAAAAGTCTATTATGCTTGAATGGAAATTGTTGAACGCCTCCTTGCTATAGCAGTTTTGGTTTATCATATCATCGAACTGTCATAGGCTTCCCAAGCACTAAAAAACTAAATTTCAATGCGAAAAGCAATGTTAACTTTCCAATCCCACTCACAACCTAAAGTCTCCCCAAAGAACAAGGTGAAGATCTAAATTACTCAGGCAAACTCTCCCACTAGGTTCTTATTCCAATTAACATCCTCACGGCATAATTCAACAGAATAATCCAAACAAAAGCCAAAACTTCCCTTTTCTTCTGGTAATGTTCAAATTTATCGTCAAACTCCAAATGAATTATGCTTAAAACTTTAATAGCTCATCAATAAATTACATTCTTACTTAACCTTTAAATTTCCTCAACAATCAATTAAACAATTGGATGATTATAATAATAAAAAGGCACATAGGTATCAACTAAATAACAAAGGAAAAGAGAGAGAAGGACCTTTTCTCGCCACCAGTGTAGTACTCCTGGGGGGAATCAGAATCGCTGTCGGAATCGGGTCCAGACCGGCGGTTCAGATCCGAGAGCGTGCGTATGCCACCAACGCGGCTGCTCGACGGCTTCGCAGGTTTCTTGTCACGTGAGGCCATTGGTTTAGTCTGATTCTGTTTTCTCTGATTGAGAAAGAAGTTTCAAAGAGGTAGAGATTCTCTGACCAGTGATCAGTGAGCTATTAGGAGAGTTGGCGTAATTTTATATATCGACACAAGAACGGGCGCGGTTCTTTTTATCTTTGGGATTCGGAGCATAGATATTTGATTGGCAATGGGATCGATTCACATTCGCTACATTTATTTCTTTTTCTCCTTCGGACAACTCAAACTGGATCCTTCTTTTCATCTTTAACTGTATATTTACATATACAATATCATATCATTGTCAGCTGGATTTTGTCGTTCAACCAAAGCCCAACTAATTTGGGCCGTCACCCTCTCCTTAACAAATATGAGGTTCCAAATTGGGCTTTAAACTCGGTTAGTTAATTAAGCGTGCAGATGGGATAGACGCTCGGATGCTTAAATGGTGCCGATCTGGCACCAATTTCTGTCTCTTTTACCCACCAGTTACCAGTGAGGCGGTAACCACTATCATCTTTACTAATCCTGTCCAGAAAGCAAAGCATCCAAAATAAAATAACGTTAATGGCGGAACCGAGTGTTCGAAGCTTGTTGAACCGGGACGAGCAGCGAAGACTAAATCGTCTAAAATTCACCTGCGATGCTGGATTCTTATATAACGCACGCCCCTCCGACACTCCAAACCTCGATGTAGAAGATTCTAATGATCCACTCAGTTTTGATTCCGACGGCTGCGACTCGGAATATGATTCTGCACCGTTGACTCATCTATCGACGAGTCTCCGAGTCTTCTCCGATTGGATGCTAAGGATGTAGCTGGCCGGTATGGAGATGATCAAGGCAATGGAAGCTTCGCTATGTGAGGTAGAGAAGCGGAGGGTGGAAACGGAGGCCGAGTTGACTCAGATGATGTTGCGAACTCAGTCCCAGATTGCTTCGTGTATTGCTGGAGATGGAGAGAATAGGAAAAGGAAGCGTGTAATAGAGGACGAACCGAGGGACTCTGCTGTTAGGTAATACAGTTCTCTCTCGTTTTTTTTTTTTTTTTAACAGCAATAATCGACTCAGTTATTTTCATTGGTTTATGCAGGCAAGGAGCTTTGCAGCTGAGTCTGCTGCAGTGCGACTTGATCTTCTATAGTTTCACTAAAACTAATAGAATGGAAAAAATGTGTTTTTTGTTGTATAAAATCAAAGTTGAGGGATGCAAATGAAGCTTTGATCTTTTGATCATAGACCGCGTGCATCCTGATCATCATATCTATATAAAGGAAAAATCTATGCACAAGGATTTGATGCGTCTGCAGATAATCACCATATTTGTCTCTCTACATATCTAAAGGAGGTTTCTTCATAGGTGAATTAGGTATTTGGTTTATCTGCTCGGCAACACCAAGTAGAGCCTTGCTTCGGTTCATTGCACTTTTCATGTATTCATCCAAAGGTGGGAGAGACGGTTGTTCTTTGTCAGTAGTTGCTTCTCCTCGAATTATCTGTCAAAAGCCATGAATGAATGTAAATAGTACAATATGGTGTATAATAGATCAAAACAAAGAGACTTGAGGGGTGAAGAAGTAATACCTTTGATGCCCACGACCGCTCTGCTTGTTGGCATGCATCCCGGATGTCCCTCCCAGACATTCTGGGTTTGTCATATGGCAATGCTCAGTAAATTCCCAAATTATTATGGTAGGAATGGGAAAAGGTAAAGGATACATATGAAATGCAGAAGATAGGTTAGGTTTGCTTAGCTGAATTTTACAACAACAACAAAAAATAAAGGTTGAATTCTATTAGAAAATCTTTAGATATGAAACAAAACATGCACAGAAACAGAAATGCTTTCGCTACATAGCTTTGGTCACATTTGGGACATTCCATGCACTCAAGAAAATAAGATAAAAAAATTTGGACTTACTCATCTGTGACTCGAGCAAGTTCAGCTAACTCTGATTCTGTAAGATGCTTTGCATACTGAGCTGCTATTTCCAGACGGTTTTGCTCATCGGGTAGGCCAAAGACGATCATTGAATCAAAACGGCTGCAATAACAAAAGGTGTGATTCAGAAACATTTCACCACCTAAAGATATAATTAACCTTGCATTTGAGACTGCATCTTTTCACCTAATCAATGCAGGATCAAGATCTTGTTTTCTATTTGTAGCAGCAATGACAACTACTTTCTTGTCCTGTTCAAATCCATCAATCTGCAAAAACAAAAATATATTTTCATCAATAGCTCCGTAACAGCATCATTATTTAGGCAATCCAGAAAATTAATGTTACTCATACAAGATAGTGGATTGCATTAATAATAGTTAAAGCTGAAAGCCTTTGTAAGATATAAGATTAGGATTTCTTCTTCGCAACCATTTTTTACGCTGTTTAAGCACTGTTCTTGGATTCGGGGGACAGCTTACAGATTCATACCGCATAAAAGTTTGGTAGAGAGACAGAGGCAATAACTAGCAGGCTACAATTGACATGGGGAAATAGCCTGGGTTACTCCTTTAGTAGCAGTTTATTTCCAGCAAAGAGAAGGCCATTTCCCACTGGCTATTGCAATATTTTTGGGTAAAGGATATTGCATGCTGGAAATGATGAGAAACAGAACTCTTAAAACCCAAAATAACCAAAAGTTGATGTTTTTAACAGGCTTGCTAAGAGGCTGATTTTTCATTAGTAACCAAAACCACTGGAAAATTCAATTTTACCTGTCGCAATAGCACTGACAAAATTCGACGTGTAGTTTCATGAATTTCACCATCACGAGCAGTGGCAAAAGAATCAACCTGCAACAGAGGCTGTCTTATCAACAATCTTATACAAATTAAATGCAAATTGATTGATAGTAAAAATGTATGGAAACCAGTGGCTCATAAATAAACGGGAGGGCGTTGTTTATTAATCATTACTTGTTTCATTTACCTCATCTAAAAATATGATAGCACCATCAGGGAGCTGATCGGCAAGAGAGAACACTTGCCCCAGTAAGCGTTCACTTTCACCATAGTATTTTGACATAACAATCTCTAGTGGCACATAGAGCAATGGGACACCCTGCAAAGCATGCACGTGCTTCAGTTCATCACAGATTCAAATAAAACAATCTCATAAAGAAACTATCATACTACTGTGACTTATTCTAAAAAGATAAAGCAAATTCTTAATTAAGAGTGTGGCAGTCACATCCATGTTCTAGATAAGAAACTTGCTACTCACCACCTGATTAGCAATAACACGAGCACAAGATGTCTTCCCTGTACCTGAGATAGGTAAATTTTTGACATAAATGAATCAGTTCAAAATTGTATTTTCAAGAATGAGTCAATATTTCTTTCTTGGTCGGAAAGCAAACCTGGAGGTCCTTCAAAGAGCACAGCTCTAGGTCTATTTGACTCAAATTTTCGGCGAGTCCCACGAGCAATATCATCATATACTTGAGGGCTATTTAGAGCCAGTAAAATTGTATCTTCTATTTCTCTGGAACAATGAGAAGTTATATACACATACATACATACATACATATATATATATATATATATGAAACACCATCTTTGCATAATCTATGTTTGACAGAAAAAGGAGAAACATGGAATATAATAGTCATTGAGTCTTTTACGTACCGTTTTTGTTGTTCATATCCAGCAATATTATCCCATGATATCTCACAGTATGAGTTATTCTGATGTGGTGCATCAAGTCCATAAATTCTCACCCCCATGGCCTCCAGGCTCGCAATTGATTTTTGTGCAGGCATCCGTGGAGAACCTTCCCTAGGTTTTTTTACCAAAGTGCTACTTCGTGCAAACCTAGCACCAGCTAGTTCTAAGACAGATACCAAGGCGTCAAGCTCCTTGGGGTTCAAACTTCCTTGCTTTATAAACTCAATTTCCTACAATAATTTGTACAGCTGATTAAACAGTTATTTTGTGAAACATAAGAAAAAATAAATGAAATCTCACTCATACTACAATATTGTCAGAAGCGTAAGAAATTAAGACCAACCGCTTTGTCTGAGCTTATGAGCGAATGGAAAATGAGGATGCATAAATCACCTTCATCTCCATTACTATAAACTGAATGCCCCTCATTTACTCCAGTTTCCTTCCGTTTCTCTAGTGAATTAAGTGTTAGCTGCCAAGCTACTGAACTGAAACAACAAAAAAGTTGGAGAAACTCAAGAACTTCACATAATTTTAATGCCAAAATAAGTGCAACTGCAGGTTTGAGAAGAGCTTTATCATGGACAACCTGTTCCATGCACGCAATAGCACATCTGAACCACCGCCACGCTCTTCAACCTTCAGTCCAAGATGTGAAACAAGGTTTGCAATCAATTGTGCAACTTCACATGAAGAAGGAATCTGGAATTTGATTGTAACCTATAACAAGGGTAGTCCTATTAAAAATACTTGAGCTGAGCAGAAATAGCATGAATCCAGTTATACACCTACTACCAATTTACAGATGAAAATTAGAAGTCAAACATGCTTTCAGAAAAGAAAATACTTTATATATATATATATATACACACACACACATATATATAAACACTATAAATCATCAGAAATAACAAATAGTTCATTATACATCGGATCATCACCATGAGCCTCTCCTTCTAACCCATAAATCAGGCTAGGGTATCCAAGAAAAAAAAGAAATAAACTGAAACAAAATAAAACAACCTTTTGGCCCTTGACAGCAACAGTAAACCGTGGATAAGAACCATATTTCATTCCTTTATCTTTAAGAAACTGTTCAATTCGCTGCCTCTCTTTCTTGGCAGTTTCCTCAAGGTTGGCATGACTTGCAGGAGGTTCCGCTGGAAGAGAAGGCTTGGCAGTGACCTGCAAGAAGCTAGTTTCACTTTAAAATCAATTCAAATAATGCAGCTCCAAACCATCATAACAGGTATAAGCTTATGGTACACATTCCAGGAGACACTTTCATTTTGGAGAGAGGGGGTATTGCTTGACATGTTAGAATTAATATGGAGTATGACATAACATAGTTTAGGGATCTAATGTCTGAAATGATAATGCAAAAAATACAATAATAAAGGGAAAAGATAGAAATGCAGAGAGACATCAACATCTGGTACCCAGAAATATAAATTGCACAAACCTCACCAGCTTCAGCATAAGCTGTTTGTATCATTCCTGCTCCAAGCAAACCAGCTAAGACAACTGGAAGTAAAGAGTATGACCCTGAAGCACCAGCCACCAACCTTAGTTGCTGGATATCTGATCCAATAGTAAAATTTGAGCTTTGAGAGAAAGCTGCATATGCCAATAATAACAATATGTTGCCAAAAAAAAAAAAAAACAGACTGAAACGGCATCTCAACATGACGTAAGAACTCTATTTACTATTCCCCATGGTTCAGAGTTTCTAGCCAAGATATCACTCGTCCACCAGCGTATAAATTAACACAAAAAGAAGCATCAATTATATGCACAAAGACAAAATCTTTCTCCAAATAACCAATTTAAGAGAAAGCACTTTAACTTTATACTGTATTTTTTTCAGAAAGAAATTCCCCGTCCGAAAGTGCCAAGAATCTTGGTTGTTTGGACTGTCGTATGAGTTATAACGTGTTAAAAACAATGTCAATCATCACATAACAGTCAATTTTAAGGAAACAACCTCCATTCGACTAAATTACAAACAGCAACTTTAGGCCATTTTTTAGTGATTACATATATGATTCCTATTTCCTGTCACTAAGTAATGTTTACTAGTTCTTCGCCAATATAATTAAGAAGAAAAAAAATTGAAGAAACAGAGGAAGAAGCTTACGGTGGTAGAGAGGAGGAGGGAGGTCACGTGAGGGAGCACGTGACGGCGTTAGGGTTAGCGTTTTAGGAGAGGCGATGATGCGCCATGACCGAGCAGTCCTTACTAGTCGCTCCAAAACTGCCATCGGACAAAGGAACCGTCTCTCCCCTACTGTGTTGTTTCAAGAGTGTCGAGCCCTGCCCAAGCGGTAAAGCTTCTTAGATGCGGTGAAGCAGGTATGCAACTTCTTGCAAGTCTTTGCTTTTCTTGTTCTAATTTCTACGAGAGTAAACTAATTGGACTACTTTGACAATTCCTAAATGCCACTTTTTTCACACCTTAATTTTTATTTATCTAAAAATTACTAGCAATACGTTGGGGGGATGCCTGTGCCTGAAATTTCGTGGGAAATGGCGTGCTTTGTCCTTGAAAAAATATTAATAATTAATAACTCTTTAGAAATTAAAAAAAAAATGATACAGTATTTGTAAACGAGTTTTTTATTAAGGTGAAAATATATTATAAATAAGTAAAATAAGATATTTAGGAGATGTTAGAGACTAAAATTAGAATAGATCTTAAAATATTGAGTGTAGAAGTAGGAGATGTAAGATTTAATAGAGAAGAAAATAAAACTCTGAAAAAAATTTAGGAAATATAGATTATAGAAAGTTTGAGAGAAAATTATAAGAAATTTATCAAAGTTTTTCAAAAATCTCTTATGAATTGTGAAAACTTTTATTTATAGGTTTTAAAAATAAAAATTATATATTTCAAATATTGAATATAAATAATGATAAATAATAAGAGAGTTGACTGTTGCAAAAAGTATTGATATATTATTTAATGAGAGTTTAATTAATTTTTTTATAATAAGTATAGTGAATATAAAAATTTATTGTCTGTTCTAAAGGAAAAGAAGAATCACTCATATTTCATATAAAAAATTTAGAGAAAATCTCTTAGTTATCTTCATATCTAATTCATTAAGTCAAGCTTTCTAAAATATTTTAATAGTAAAATTAACCCAAAAATCTCATCATATTCAAGAGTTATTTTTACTTTTTTTTTTTAGTGAAGTAACATTTGAGAAAACATCTTTTATAAAACAATTCTCAATGAAACAACTTTTGAACAAGAGTTTTTTTGGTAAAAGTATTAGTCTTATTCATTGAGAAAGTTGTTCTGAAAATAATTATTCGTTGAAGGTGTTATTCTATAAAATAATTATTTTTTTGTTAACGTATTGTTCCATTAAGGAGTTGTTCCTTAAATAGTTATTATGTAAATAGTTATTATGTAAATAGTTATTTTGTAAAAAAATTATTTCATGAATAATTGTTTCGTTACATAGTTGTTCTATAAATAGTTATTCTATAAAAAAATTATTCCATAAATATTTGTTCTGTAAAATAATTTTAAGTTTTATCCCTTGTTTTAACTTATTATCAACTTTAACAACTTTAAAAAAATTTAAAAGAATAAAGTATTAATAACTAAAATCAAATATTTACACGATATTTTTATCTTGAAAAAAAAAAAGATCTTATACTTTTTTTACTTGTTTTAATCTATTTGTCTTTTTTTTTTTTATCTGAAAATTTTACTTGAATAAAAGTTTTCTACTTGGTCTGATCTCCATCTGAAACAAAACGCAATAATGTATTTGGGATGTGTCATCAAATGCTATTTATGCACCTTGCAATGAGTTGACTAATTAAAAAAAAGAAATACATAAACTATACTTTGGTATAGACTTTGATTTACCATAAGTTTTTTTTTTTTTCTTTTCTCGAGGAATGCTAGGGGCAGTCGATCCTACTAACTCTTTTAGACAGTTGAGTATATAAACTGCAACAGCCTCTCATATTTCAGAGTTAAAACCAAAAACTCCTAACAGCCAATTATTCATGGATTTTTAATTTTTTTTTCATTTATTAATAAAAACGTTACCTTTTAAAAATAATAAAACAATTAATAAAAATGTTACTTTTTTAAAATAATAAAACAGGAGTATTTGACAACAGCTAAACAATTAAAAGAGAAGCTAATTAGAGGAAAGCTTCACAAATCCAAGTTTAATTTTTTTTTCTTTTCAATTCAGTTTGAAATTTATCAAGGTTCATCCCTTTTCTACAACAAAATCCATTCTTGTTTCTCACAAAGACAGTAAAACAAACCCAACAAAAAAAAAACATGTGAAGAAAAAATTATCCAAAAAAAAAAATGAAGATAGACGAAAATAAATAAAAATTTTAAAAGACAACAACAAAATGAAATAAAAATATAGAGGGAAGTAATGAAGGTTTTTAAGGTGTCCTGTATGGTGCAGCCACTAGTGAGGAAAGAGATGGACATGCCAAGAGCCAATCTAGCCACTGGTTCCAGTCATGCACACAATCTCTTCCTCTTTTGGCAAATATCTTCATTTCTGTGACTGTTAACGATAGAATGACCTGTTAAAGATTTCTTTTTTTATTGCCTCATGGCAATCGAAGGCGGCGATTCTATTGGTTGATTTGCTTTTCTTGTTGGAATGATTAAAAATAATTATGTAAATATCTATACATATAGGGATGTAAATGATACATTAGTATTCGTAAGCTACTCGGGTTCGATTCGAAGAAAATTCGAATTCGATTCGATTATTATCGAGTCAAACTCGAGCTCGAGTAGCTCGATTTATCGATCGAGCCAAATTCGAGTATTTTTATATCCGACTCGAGTAGCTCGCGAGCCTAATCGAGCTTTTTTATTATATATTTATTTTTATTATTTTATTTATAAAATTACTTTTTTACCCTTAGCTTAAAAAACCCTAAAATTTTATTTTCTTTCTTTCCCTCTTCTCCTTCAGTCTTTCTCCCCGTCTCTCTCACTCACCAATAGACCCTTACGGCGTCTTCTCTTCCCGAATCCCACTCCATTGTCTTCCAAGCTTGTTCCACCCTTTCGAAAGCCCTTTCTCCTCTCTCTAAAAAGCTTGAACAGAACCCGATCTTGAACAGAACCCGATCCCTCAACGCAGCCCTGCTCGTTTCACCCATTCGACGTTTGCAGCAGCTTCAACAGAACCCGATCTTGAACAGAACTTGATCCCTCAACAAAGCCTTGCTCGTTCCACCCATTCGACATTTGCAGTAGCACCCATTCGACGTTTGCAGCAGCTTCAACAGAACTCGATCTTGAACAGAACCCGATCCCTCAACGAAGCCCTGCTCATTCCACCCATTCGACGTTTGCAGTAGCACCCATTCGACGTTTGCAGCAGTTTCAACAGAACCCGATCTTGAACAAAACTCGATCCCTTAACGAAGCCCTACTCGTTCCACACATTCGACGTTTGCAGTAGCTTGAACAGAACCTGATCTCTCAACAAAGCCCTACTCGTTCCACCCATTCGACGTTTGTAATAGCACCCATTCGACGTTTGCAGTAGCTTGAACAGAACCCAATCTTGAACAGAACCTGATCCCTCAATGAAGCCCTGCTCATTCCACCCATTCGACGTTTGCAGTAGCACCCATTCGACGTTTGCAGTAGCTTGAATAGAACCCGATCCCTCAACGAAGTCCTGCTCGTTTCACCCATTTGACGTTTACAGTAGCACCCATCGACGTTTGCAGTAGCACCCATTCGACGTTTGCAGTAGCTTGAACAGAACCCGATCCCTCAACGAAGTCCTGCTCGTTTCACCCATTTGACGTTTACAGTAGCACCCATCGACGTTTGCAGTAGCTTGAACAGAATCCGATCTTGAATAGAACCTGATCCCTCAACAAAACCCTGCTCGTTCCACCTATTCGATGTTTGCAGTAGCTTGAACAGAACCCGATCTTGAACAGAACCTGATCCCTCAACGTAGCCCTGTTCGTTCCACCCATTCAACGTTTGCAGTAACTTGAACAGAACCCGATCTTGAGCAGAACCTGATCTCTCAACGTAGCCCTTTCTCCTCTCTCTAAAAGGTAAGCTCGTTCCACCCATTCGACGTTTGCAGTAGCTTGAACAGAACCCGATCCCTCAACGTAGCCCTTTCTCCATGACATACTTTTTGAATGCCATTTTTTTATTAAATGTTTTTATGTTAGGCTTTCAATTCATGCTAAAAGGTGGTTTAAATAAGAATGCCTTAATTAAATACCCTTATGAATGCCTAAATTAAATACCCTTATGAATATTGTGAGGATGCAGATCGAGAACAACAATGAAATGGGGCAAGGTGTTATAGCTATTTGTTAGTATTGATATTCTCAATTCTGATTTGTTTGTCAAACACTATCATATTATACTTTTTTTTTTGTTGCAAACTTGTGAAAAGCAGTATGTTCTTTGTGAAGTTGCATTTAAATACTGAATTTTGTAAACCAAAAGTCTCTATATTATTAGCAAGAAAGTAATTGAATTTGGGCCACTTCAAGACTTGCACAATACGCTTTATCAGTAGAAAAACTTTTGGATGGTTCATATTATTTAACAAAAAAAAAAGGTCATTGGCTCTATTGTTTTTAGTCATAATCATAATTTGAGCTTCCATATAATTCATCACTAATTTATTGGGGACTGTTTAATGTGAATACTTTTCTTCTTTATGCATATTAGATTTGTTAGAATATAACCTGACAATTATTTCTAATGAGATTGAGTTAATGTTATATAAATACTAAATAGGCATGTATAATTGTAAAAATTAATAAGAAATATTCATTTTAAGAAATTGATTTTAGAAATTGAAATTATTATCGAAATAGGTAATCTTAAATTTATTAAAATTCCTACAATATTAGTATATTTTCCCAAAGAATAAAATTTTATACGCTTCCAATAATTTGTTCTCGCAACTTGTTTAGCATGTTTCTGGCAATAAAATTTACCGCACATGTTTCTAACAACTTATTTGCATTATTGTTTGATACTAAAATTATATTATTGTTTTGATTTGTCTTTTTTTTTTTTTTGCTATAAGGAACTAAACATGTCATCAACTACACCGAATATCTCTTCTATACCAGTTCAGCCGACAATAAATTCTTTTACTAGTCGAATTATGTCAGATGATGGTAATGATTCAATGAATGAAGCTTTAGATGCCACTAATGGTAACACAGATAAAACACCAGTCATTGATGCCAATGATAGAGAATGTGATAATGCTGACCCTGAAGAGTGTGAAGAAAGTAATGAGAAAAAGAGGTAAAAGACATCTGCTGTTTAGTTAGAGTTCAAAGAAGTCACTCTTTCTGATGGTTCTAAAAAAGAAGAGTGTGTCCATTGCAAGAAGAAGCTAGCAATAAATACAAGTAAAAGTACAACTCAATTTAAGAGGCATTTGATAACTTGTGTTAAGAGAAAAATTTTTCAGAATCAACAACAAATGATCAACTTTCAGTCAGTAAACACATGTGATGATGTACAGATACTACCTGCTCTCACAGATGGCAAGTTTGATATGGTAAAGATGAGAGAAACAGCTGCACATTGGATACTTATGCACGAGCATCCTTTTTCGATTATAGAAGAGGAAGGTTTTAACATAATGCAAAAATGTGGGATGCCTGAATGGGAAAAGGTATCACGCAATACTATTAAAAAGGATTGCATGCAAGTTTATGAAGCAGAAAAGAAGAAATTAAAGGCATTGTTAAAGACTGTCAGCAAGATTAGTTTGACAACAGATTTGTGAAAATCAAGTAATCAAAAGATTGAGTACATGGTTCTTACAACACACTTTGTAGATTCTAATTGGAGATTACAAAAGCGTGTTATTTTCTTTGTTCACATACCTCTTCCTTGTCGTGGTGTTGAGATTGCTGATTGTATTTTTAAGTGTCTAAAAGAATGGGAAATTGAAAACAAGGTGTTTACACTTTCTGTGGACAATGCTTCAAGCAATGATGTGGCGATTAGAATTTTTAAAGACACTTTTTCAAGAAATAAGATGTTGCTTTGTGGAGAAAAATTATTTCATGTTCGGTGTTGTACACATATCTTAAATCTCATGGTTCAAGATGGCCTTTTTGAGATTAAGAATGTGATTGGTGATATTCATGAAAGTGTCAATTTTATTAATTAAAATGAGGCAAGACTTAACTTTTTTTCTGATATAGTACAGCAGTTACAGTTACCTGATAGGAAATTCATTCTCGATTGTAAAACACATTGGAATTTGGCATTCGAGATGTTGTCGATTGCAATCAAATTCAAAGAAGTGTTTCCGAGACTTAAAGAGCGAGAATCTCATTATGAATGTTGTCTAAGTCATGAAGATTGGGAAAATGTGGAGAAAGTTTGTGAGATTTTAGAAGTTTTTAATTCAGCCACTAAAATCATCTCTGGAAGTGATTATCCAACTTCAAACCTGTTTCTGAATGAAGTTTATCATGTGAAAATGTTGTTGGATAAAAGGATGAATGATGAAAATGAATTTGTTCAAGCAATGGTTCGTAAGATGAAGAGTAAATTTGATAAGTATTGGGGAGAATGTAATTTGTTGATGTCTATAGCAGCAATCTTGGATCCAAGATGCAAAATGAGGGTGATTGAGTTTTGCTTTCCTCGAATGTACCCTGATAGAGAAGCAAGATAAAATATTGCTAAAGTTCGAGATGCCCTTTATGAGATTTATGATGAATATGCTCGTGAGTATCAATTTAGCAATGAGCATAGTGTTGAAACTCAAGTGCATGATAATGGTATTAGTGGTATGAATATAGAAGCTTCTTCTTCTGGTTGGTTTGAATTTGCAAATTATGTAAAATCAGTTGAAACTGCTCAACCACAACAATCTGATTTAGATGTCTACCTAGCTGAAGGCTATTTTATCTGTGAAGGAGATTCCACTAAGTTTCATGCTTTGGAATGGTGGAAAGCGAGCACTTTGAAATATCGTATTTTATCTAAGATGGCTCGGGATATACTTGCTATTCCTATCACTACAGTGGCTTCAAAAGCTACCTTTAGTGCAGGAGGTAGAGTTATTGATACTTATCGTGCTTCTTTATCTCCTGACACAGTGCAAGCATTACTTTGTGAAAGAGATTGGTGTCGGAATCTTTATGGAGTGAAGAAGAAGAACAAAGTGAGTTTTTTTTATTATTATTTTGTTATTAGGTGACTATCATTGCTTTAATCTAATTTTTAACTATTATTTTCATTTACTTTATCTATGTAGAAAGAGAAGAAATCAATTGAGATTGCACTCAAAATCCCCTAAAGTGAGGATATCTAATGTCTTCTATACAGGTATGAAATATTATTATTAAATACTTTTAATTTGTCACAACATTACTAAAGAAAAATAGGTAGTAGCTAGTTTAGATTGAGCTTTTTGCATTTTAATTTACGAACCATAGGTTAACTAATGATAGAAACTCATGTTAAGGTAATTGACAAGATACTGTTTATATTTTTTTGCATTGATTATAAGATAACTGACAAGATAAAATCCATGTTGATGCTAATATTAAAAATTTAAAGTTATTGATCATTGTAATAATATTACAATCTTTTTCTTGCATGGGTATTTTTATCATTATTCTTATTGTTAATTATAATTTCTTTATTTTGTAATTATTCTTTTGTGTAGGTTTATTGAAAAGCAATATAAGCTCAATGTTTATTTGAAGACATAATATTGTGAAGGCAGCATATGTATTGTTGTTGGTTTGTTGTAACTTATTTGTGAACTTATTTGCTTGGATATTTAATATCTTTCAATTAGGGTTTTAATTTCTAAGTTCATTATGTCTTATATTTGTGTGTTGTATTTGAATCATTTAATGAGACTTTTATTTGCTTAAATTTGGTTGTTGTGTAAGTTATTATTATTATTGTTGTTGTTGTTATCTTGAAAATATAATATTTATTAGGTTTGATAAAAATTAGTTGTAAAAGATCTCGAGCTCGAGCTCGAATAATCGAGTTTTTTTTCGAGTATAAAAATCGAGCTTTTTTTTATATATTAATCGAGCTTAATCGAGCGAGCCCGAATAGCTCGATTTCGATCACGAATCGAACTTGAGCTAGAAAAATAAAACTCGATCGAATTCGAGTCGAGTATCGAGCAGCAAGTTTAAAGTCGAGCTCGAGCTCGAGCTTATCATTGTATCGGCTCGACTCGACTCGACTCGATTCGATTACACCCCTATATACATATATTGGAAGTAATCTTTTTAAAATTACTAAATTACCCCTCCCATGGTTTTTTAAGAATTTGACATTTAGTTAAATGGATTATTATACTCTCCTACTATAATTATAAAAATATCATTTCTTTTATAATTATTTACTATGATACCTCACACCATAATTACAAAAATATCATTATCTTAAATTGACTATTATGCCATTATATTATAATTACAAAAATACACATTCTATTATAATTATTTATTATAATATCTTCATATCATAATTATAAAAATATCTTTTTTTTATTATTGAATTACAAAAATATCTCTTATCTTATTATTGACCAAAATTACTAATACCTTCCTGCTATAATTATAAAAATACATTTCTCTCATAATTGATCAAAGTTACCATAATGCATTTCTATCATAATTATAAAAATACTTTTACAAATGCTTAATAAGAAATTGACATGTGGCACTTTATTTTAAAATCAATAAAATATATTAAAACAATTCCGTTGATAATTAGTATAATAATCTTTTGATTATTTGATATGATATTGAAATGTATCCAAATTTATTACAATGCTTTTTTATCATAATTATGAAAATACTTATATTTTATTAGTTAAAATTACTATAATGCCCCTCGTAATTATTATAATTATTATAATACCCTTCTTATTATAATTACAAAATATCCCTTTTAATATAATTGATTAAAATTACTAATACGATGCCCTTCCTACCAAAATTACGAAAATACCACTATCATAATTGGCCAAAAATTACTATAATGCATCTAATATTATAATTTTGGAAATGTTTTTACAAGTACTTCATAGGAAGTTAACATGTGATATTTTGTTTCAAAATTACTATAATATTTCTATTAAACTATATATTAAATTTTTACGTAATATAAAATTAATCACACATTAAATTATTAAAATATCATTACAATTACTTTATAAAAATTTGAAAGGTGACATTTTATTTAAAAATTACTATAATAACCTATTAAATTACATTTGAAATTTTAACATAATATAAAATTAATTACATATTAAATTACTAAAATACTCTTACCATTGCTTCATACAAATTTGACATGTGAAATTTTGTTTAAAATTTACTATAATACCTTTATTAATTTACTTATTAAATGTTAAATAACATATATTAAAACAATTTCCATAAAAATTACTATAACACCTCTTTGTTTATTTGATATGATTTTGATATGTGTCCAAATTTAATATAACGTCTTTCTTTTTATAATTAATCAAAATTATTATAATGTCCTCTTACTATAATTACAAAATACTCTTCCAACTATACTTGACAATAATTATTATAATACTATCTTACTATAATTACAAAAATACTCCTCCTATCATATTTGACTCAAATTACTACAATATCCCTTATACCATACATAAAAAAAAAAAATGACTCACGTACCATAATTAAATAAAATTATTATAATATTTTTTAACCATAATTATATAAATGCTTTTACGAGTGTTTCATGAGAAGTTGATATGTGACATTTTATTTCAAAATTATTATAATACTCATATTAAATTATGTATTGAAATTTAATATATTATAAATTTAATCACATATTAAATTAGTAAATAACCTTTATTATTGCTTTATAAAATTTAACATTTGACATTTTATTAAAAATAATCAAAACTAAATGATCAAGTGATACAGACAACTATAATTTTTATTAAAATTAAAAACTAAATAATTTATATTTTAAAATAAAAAATATTAATCCCCAATGTAGTGGGTACCGCAAACTAATATATATGATGAAAGTAAAGTTGGAAAATTTGAAACTTTATTTGCTTATCGCATTAGTTCTATCAACTTATTCAAAAGAAAAATATTTTAGCAAATTCAATATCAAATGAAATAAAATTATTTGATTCTTTGAGTTTTTTTTTTTCCTTTTTTTTAAAGCTATCCTACGTTTTTTTTTTTTTTAAATAGAAAAAAAGTCAAAACCCTTACAATTATATAATCACAAATGTGTTAACAAAAAATGAAAAAAATAGAGAAAAGGGAAAGGAATTGAGATGGATAATTAGTTAAGAGTGATAATAGTTCGAATTGGATCATTTTTTATTTAATTTTTTATAATATATAATATTATAAAATTTTAAAATACGATTTAAATCCGAATATATTTTTATTTGAAATTAATTTAATTCAAATTGAATTATATTGATTTTATTTATCAATTTTATAAATTTATTTTTTGTTTATTATATATTATTTTAATGTAATTTTTAATATATGTAAATAAATTTAGATATAAATTAATTATATTTATTTATAAAAATTAAAAAATATATACAAAAACTAATAAAAATATATAATTTGATTTAATTTATTTTTTGATTTTTCACTTCTTAAACCAAAACTAATATATACATTTAATATTAAAATTTAATTTAAATCAAATAAAAAAAACTAATCCAATTAAACATTATGATTTTGAGTTAATTTTCAAAATTTTTACTTGTTTCTCACCCCGCATCATGCGATTAAAATGTCAACAAAAATATACCAATGGCAAAGCGAAAATTAAAACTTCAATTTTGTTTCTCAGAAGAATCTTGGAACGAGCGCGTTCAAATCAAGTCAGTTTTCAAAATTTTTTTTCCCAATCTTTCACCCCTTTTGGTAAGGTACAGTACTATGGGCCTGAAAAATTTTAACTGGCTACTAAAATTGTCGGTCTTGACTAGGGATGACAATCAAGCCCATTTCCGACAGGTTTCGGTCCGACCCGATTTTATAGGATCGAATTTTTTTTTAAATTTCGGGTTTCGAGTAAAAAATCGGGTCGGGTAAAATTAAGCAATAATCGAGGTCGGGTCAGGTTAGGATATGTCTAAAACTCGACTCGATATTTATTAAAAAATTATTTTTTAATTAATTAATTATATATTTATATAATGATATTTTAAAATATTTATATTTAAAAAATAATATTTTATATTTAAAAAATAATATTTTATTAATTTCGAGTCGAATCGAATTGGATACGATTTATATATTGTCGTGTCAGGTCGGATTCGAATATTAAAAAAAATCGAATCAAATTTAAATTTAACAGAGCATAAAATCGGGTCAGATTCGAAGCGAGCAAAACCCGTCTCGAACCCGGCCTATGCCATCTCTAGTCTTGACTTTGAAACTTGAAACAAACGTGGCATTTTGAGAGTTCGAATATCCAAAAGCATCTGTAGATACGACTACTGCTAGCATTTCCTTTTTTTCGTTAGGCCCGGTGATTTAGCTTTGACAGAGTGGGCTATTCCAGGATCAAACTTGGGTTTCATCAGTCAGCAGTTGGGCTCAAGACAACCTTTAAAAAAGTAATTACCCAATTCCTTCGTCGGCCTTGTTAAAAAATGAAGTATGTATTGTTTCATATTTTTATTAAGAACCTTTCTTGCTACACTACAACTATATACATGTAACATAAGCCATTGTACCCCCACAGCGTAACAAGATAATGGAATGATTATATTCTTTTGGTACTTCAACAAAAAATGGAGGGTATGAGGTGTTTGGAGGAAATGTTTTACCTGTAAATTCTAGTTCTAGATGGATAAAGTTCATGGTACTAAGTTAGATGCTTGGTTGGTTCCTCATAAAAATTCTAGACATAGATTGATTATTGAAAAACAGTTTTTTTAAAAATTCAACTTCAAAGTCTTTCACCGCGACAATGATGTATGTTTATTAAGAATCAGACCCCTTTGGGATGAAAACTGATCTTGTTTCCCTTTTCCCCCTTTCTTTTGAATTTGATACGTGATACGACGCTGTGCGGGGCCTGGGCGGTCGCTTGCCACCAGAAATTAATGAAGAAAAATCGTGTGCTTTCTATGGCTGCCATAAGGCTCAAGGGAAGTTAATGAAATAAATTACAGGCAGATGAATTTCAAAATAAAGGTCATAATTTCCTACTCTTCACTCTCTAGCTAGAAGATGACTAAAATCAATATATATTAAATAAATGTAAAAAAAAAAAAAAAAACCAACAAAAATGTGAAACAACTTTTTGAAATCACAAAAATCAACAAATCTAATTAAAATACTTAATAAGAGAATTAGTTTAAAAAATTATAGATAACAGTAAGACTTAAAGAGAACTAATTTTCTATAGTAAGAATTCAAGGGAGAAAAATCATACGGATAAACAACAAAATTACTATAAAAAGGAGAAAAAAAAGGTTAATAATGATTAACACACTTAATAAATTTTCTTAGTGAAAAGGTTGCGCAAATTAAAAAAATTACCACCGCTTGCAACGTTAGCCCCGCTGCTTCTACCATTTCCACGGCCTCCGCCACGGCCGCCACTGACGTCGGTACTGATTTCGGAAATTATTGCATTATTTTCATCAGTTCTACAGCTCAAATGATGTCTGTACCCAATACATATTGGCACGTTCAAATTCAAAACCTTGGCTTTGTCACCGTTGTTACCACCGTTAACAATTTTACCGCGACGAGTTTCGATAACTTCTTTCTTACCGCTACTCTTTTCAGCACTCCGACCCATGATATCGAAGCTCTTGACACCGGAACCACCACGTCGAACCTGCCAAACTGGGCTGCTTCGGCCCAAGTGAACCCCTGCCCGACTGGGGCTGCTCGGCCACTTTCTAGACTTGGATTCACCCGCCGAGTTGCTTCGGGAACACGGGGCGCTACTTACCTTCCGGGTACCCGCCGCACCGGCTGTCATCCTGGGTCGGGTCCCGTTAGTACCTGCGGATCTGCTCCTTGAGAAAGGCCAAATATTTATATTCAACTCAGCTGTACTCGCTCCGCTTTGACTCTGACTCTTCTTCTCCTTCTTCTTCTCTTTCTCTTTCTCTTTATCCTTGTCTTCTTGATTTTTAGTTCCGTTCTTGCCCTTTTCTTTCTTAAAAATGTCTCTCCACCGTTTCGAAGCTGACAAGACAGGAAGCGGTTCCGAAGTTATAGGAGGGCCAGGTTCGGGTTCTGGGTCGGGAATAGGAGGTTCTGATGCGGGTGGATTTGAGTCGGTTTGTGGGTTCTCTTCGGGTTGTTTGTTGGGTAAGAGATGGAGAGGAAGGAGAACACCATTAACAATGAGTTCATCAGCGGAGATGAGATCGGGTTGAGGAAAAGACGGGTTCCGGACCATCCAGAACTCGAATTCAGGTGAACTTGAATGGCTGCTTGTACTGCTTCTTCTTCCACTGCTGCATGGTGATAGATTTTTGGGTTCTTCGTTTACAGTTTGCAGGCTCTGCATTTTTTTGGCAGAAAAAGAAAGAAAAAGTTAAGACTTTGTTATGGTTTTTGAGAGGAAAGGTTAGAGTTCTGTTTGTTGAGTGATGGATGCGAAAAGAGGTGGGGATCCTAATAAAAAAAAGGAGAGCTTCAATTCACACTTTTTTTACTTTCTATATATTTTTTGAAATTATTTTTTATATTCCTTTCATTTTTAATTTTTGAATTTATAAATTTATAAATTTTGTATTTACAAATTTAAAAACTTTTAAGAGATATTTGATCGGTGAAATTTTAGATTTAAGAGCAAAATACAATATTCAAGGTTTTTTTTTTTTATTTTTAGATATCTTATATTCAGATTTATTTATTTGATTGAGAGGAATTTATGTATATTAATTTTTGTATAATTATCATACTCACATTAACATATATGAAAATTCATTTATAAAAATAAAAAATAATTATTTACGGCAATTCATACTTTTTTTACTTTCTATATATTTTTTAAAATTATTTTTAAATAAAGTTATTTAATTACTTGTTATATTCCTTTTATTTTTAATTTTTGAATTTATAAATTTAAAATTTTTTAAAAGTTTTCGATTTACAAATCTAAAAACTTTTAAAAGATGTTTGATTGGTGAAATTTGGATTCCGAAAAAAATGCGATACGCAGGGTTTTATTCTATTTTCAAGTATTATGTGTTCTGATTTACTTATTTGATTGAAAGTAATCTACACATATTACTTCTTGCATAATAACCATACTCTCCTTAACATATATAATAATTCATTTATAAAAATATAAAAAAATTATTTAAGGTATTTTTATACAGAAACACCTTAAATAATCTTTTTATGAAAATATTAACCTTAAACACTAAAATACAAAAAGACTATTTAATGTGTTTTCTATACAAAAACGTCTTAAATAATCCATTTATAATAAAAATGATGCTTTTAAGGGTTTTTTTTTTTGTACAGAAACGTTTTAAATAATCTTTTTATAAAAATATTAACCCTAAACCCTAAAATATAAAAAATTATTTAAAGTATTTTTTGTATAGAAATATCATAAATAATCCTTTTATAAAAATATAAAAAGATTATTTAAGGCATTTTTTCATGCCAAATGTATTAATTACAATATAAAAAAATATTTTTTTGTACAAAAATCTATAAATGAGTTTCAATCATTTTAGATATACTTTTTAAAAAGGTAACGATTATTTCATCATTTTTTTAGGTCAAATTTGAAAAATAATGCAACTTTCCCTTTAAAATCCTAAAATATCATAGGAAGATATAGGTTTATGATTTCGAGACTTTGGGTACTATTGAAAACCTGATATTTTTTCTTATAATTGTATTATCTTGAACCAAACGTGAAAATTAAATACTCACCATCAGAATTTCGAATAAAAATTTATGGATTTTCACGAATCAAATGCCACCTTAAATGTCTTTGAATTTATATATTTAAAAACTTTTAAAAGTTTTTAAAATTCTATATACGAAAGTTTAAAAATTTTATAGGATATTTTTTCTCAATTGATTTTTTTTATTTTAAATATAATTTTTTTAATTTATTGGATATAAAAATCTGATAAATTATATAATTTACCAAATATATATCAAGTAAGTTATATAACTTATTGAAAATATATATATTCGAAAGTTTTAAAATTGAGATGAGAATGGTAATTAAATAGTTTCATTTAAAAAAAGTTAAAAAAAAGTTAGGTGTGGAGAGAAAAAATAGGAATATGTTTAGAGCCTTTTATAAAGAAAAATAGTGAAATTTTTTTTTTGTTTTTGATTTGACATTTTAAGCTTATGTGGGAAAAAAAAAACCTTTTAAGCTTTTAGCACAAGATTTTTAATATTGTATCGTATAATATTTTAATTTTTTTTAAATGATATATATGCATACCAATTGTTTCAAAATATTATTTTAGATTTTTTAATTTAATATAAATATACATGGATTTATACATAAATAATACTACTAATAATATGCAAAATAAATATACAATATATTTATAAACAAAATAAATAAATTTAAAAGTATAAATAATAATATCATTAAATCATCATGATATTTTAAAACAATTAATCTGATCATATAATATTTAAATAAATATTTTTTTCATGTGAAAATATATTAAGATAAAAATAAAGAGATAAAAAAGAAAATAATTTTAGTTTTAGGATTTTTAAACTTTAGAAAAGGAGTACAATTATTGTTTTAAAAGAGATTGAAAAATTTATGAGTTTTAATTCAAAAAATATATATAAAAGAAAATAAGTTGTAGTAAAAAATAGAAAAAATTCAACTTTTAAAAATTATTTTGTTCGTTAGTTTTATTTTTATTAATTTAAAAATAATCAAATAATAAAAAATAAATTAAAAATTATAAAATATGTTTTATATTTACATGCCGACCAAAATAAATTATTTCATCAAAATTTATTAAAGTTAGTCAAAGTCAACCAAAACAACTTACATTATACGATATCAAATCTTTTATAAAAAATTACCTTTAAGATGTATTATATTTTAATATAATTCTAGCATATTAACTGATACGGTAGGTATTAAAACAAAAACACAAACCTAACAGCAATGTTCTAGCCACATTTGTTTGGGAGCAATTGAAAAGAACGAGAAAGTTAGTGGTCTAGGAATTAGGAATTTTGGGGTCTATTTTATAGATGCATGGGAAATTGTTACTATTGATTCAAATTTCTAGTGAGGAAATGAATTAGGAAAGATAATGCATGTCATTAGAATCTAAAAAGCTAAAAAGAAAATTCACTTTAGATTCTTCGACTATTGTAATAATATTAATAATAATATAAGTAACATGGCTGCCATTTACTCTATAGTTGTTACTTTCGTTATGGTATGTTTTAGTTATATTAAAATATGATATATTTAAATATAATTTTTTATATCGAATTTGATATAAGATAATGCTAATTATTTTTATTAGTTTCGGTTTATTTCAATGAAATTTGATGAAATAATATATTTCGGTTGGTACATAAATGTAAAATATATTTTATAATTTTTAATTTATTTTTTGTTATTTAATTATTTTAACTTAATAAAAATAAAATTAATTGACAAAATAATCATTAAAAGTTAAGTTTTTTTATTTTTTATTTTAACTTATTTTTTTATACTTTATTTTTTCAAACCAAAGTTTATAATTTTATATTTTATTTTTTCAAACCACAGTTTTATAAGTATTTCAGTTTTTTTTTTTCAAGAAAACAATTATACTCATTTTATAAAGTTTAACAATCATAAAGTTTTGATTAATTTTTTATCTTTTTATTTTTATCTTAATATTTATATGAAAAAAATACTTATTTAAATATCATATGATAAAATTAAGTGTTTAAAAATAACATAAAAAATTTATGATATTATTTTTTATGTTTTTAAACTTATTTATTTGATTTGAATATATTACATATTTATTTTATGGCTTATTAATAATATTATAATGTATAAGTTCATGCATATTTTTAAATATATTTGTCCCAAATTGAAAAATCTAAAATAATATAGTGAAACAACTAGTATCGATATATACCATACTTAAAAAAAAAAACAAAATGTTATATATTAACAATATTGATTTACTCTCTTTCTATCTATTATTAATTATTCTCTCATTTCACTTTCAATAAAATTGTCTATTATTATTGTCATTACTCATTAACAACAAATATAAATAATACGAGTAAACAATAAAAGGGGAAAAAAATAGAAAAACACTTTTATCCAAGAACATAGTATCTATCACCATTATGTTACTTAATCCATCATGATTTAAAATTATATAAATCATATCAAACTTTTATATAAAACTTACATTTACATAATTTTTTAATATAATTAGATAATTGTAAAATTATAAGTTAAATTTACCATATTTATCTTTAATCAACAAACTATATATTTGTCTTCATGTTGTTATTAAGATAATTGCTAAAAGGTAGGATACATTTATGATCACATTTACACATGATACACATTTTTAGGTATATTTATTGTCATGATTATTGTAGCATCCATCATATTATTATAAAATATAAATAAGTAGTAGTAATAACTTGAAATGCAAAGAATAAAATTAAAAAAAAGGGTTTATTTAGAATATCCTAGCCGTTTGATCATTGGACCTAGGAAGTTGATGTGCTAGATTCTTGATGATTATATTTATATCTTTAATAAAAAGAGAGAGATATATATTAGAAATAGTGACTCCAATCTCATAAGAGATTTGTTTAGGATTAGCTAAATATTATTTGATGGATAAGAAGATTTGCAGAAGAATAATTTTAAAAGAAAAAAGATTTTTAATAGATAAGTTTATATGCTTATAAATATATAGAGTTTCTATAAGATTATATATGAGAAAAAGATGTAAGAGAGTTGTAAGATTTTATAGAATAGACACCCCATAAGACTACAGAAGATTAACATCTCATAGGTATGATGGTGTGAATGTTTGTAAGTGAACTAGAAGAGACTGAAAAGGTCCACATAGCTATTGGTGCATGAATGTATATGGGCATGTGTATGTTTGGATTGAGAATACTTCATAGAATTAGAAGAGATTGAGATGATTATGGGTATTAATTGTGAGTATTTGATATGGATTGTATGTTTGTAATTCTCTACAATTAATGGATCTTATTTCTCATCTATGAACATAATCGATTAGGCCAAATCATGTTAAATTTTTATCTTTTGTGTAATTGATTAATTATTTGATTTTACTTTTGTTGGTGTGCTTAGATTTAAGCCTTTTGGCTTAACATGATATCAGAATTGAAGGTTTAAAACGTGAGAAGATGTAAACTTAGAGGAGCTTAACTCAAGGAAAAAGTTTAAGTTCATGTTTTGAAGATTGATTTGCGTGAAGCATAAAAACATACAAGAGAATTGGATTATGAGATTTTTAGTGCAAGTAGAGCTAAACATATCTAACATGAAAACTGATGATTTGATGAAATTTGAATCAAACTAAAAATTATTGAAAATAGTGACTCAAATCCCATAATAG